TTAATTTTAAGTAAAGTAAATGAAATGACGCGTATTATTTCAGTTTCGCGAGATAGATGGAATTCCGTTACTTTTGGATTGTTGTAACATAGACGCACGGAATCCACGTAAGTATAATTTTGTTTTATTCGTTTTTGTTGTTTTTTTTTTTTGGTTTTGTTTTGTTTTATTGTCGGTAATTTTCACGCAGTCATCCTGCAATGGACCATTCTCGCTTTGAGAAATCTATGCGAGGGGAATCCCGAGAATCAAGAAATTATTAGAAATTGTGAAAAGAAGGGCGTGCCGGATAATCCTGCGTTACAAGAGATGGGATTGACTCTACATGAGGACGCGGATGGGAAATCGATTCGTATCGCTCCTTTACGTCGCAATTAGGGAGATTTACAGTTTTTTCTAGGAACGCGATTGTTCTCGGTCAATCAATCAGCTCAAATCATTGTTTGTATCGATAATATTCTTAATAAGATACGATATATATGTGTATGTTTTTGTGATGGGTGTAACCGGATTTTCCTGTATAAATAATTATTATTCCAACTAGACTGAAATGTATCCTGCTATGCCAATCGCTAAGAAACGACTCTGCAATTACGACGATTATTATGCTATTAGGCGAAATACGACGTGGTATGACATAGAGAGATATTTTATCTACAATCATGGCCGAGTGATTTACGATACAATAAAAGCTGCCGTGAGAGTTCACGATCTATTAGTAGTTACTAATGTAAGTATATGTACAATTGCTGTCGCTGATCATTCAATTTCGACGCGAAATCGATTTTGTTTTCCGTATGTAAAATAATGAGTCAAAGAAAGATTTCATTAATGCGCACATTAACACTTTTAGACAGTGTTCTCCAAATCGATAAATAAATTCGCGATAAATTATATACGTTTGTCTCTCCACGTTTTTCCGCCCTCTCACAAAATTGCGCAAGACAGGAGGCATGGAGACGTTGAAGAATTATAGAATCTCCAATTACGCTGTCAAGTGACGCGTGTTTCAATAAATAATTTCTTCGTTAATTAATTACACGCGTTTTAATTCCCCCTTGTCCCCGCGGTTCTCGTTTCAAGACGATAATTTCTCACGTCCGTGGCAGTTTCTCGTCTTGGCGAACAATTTTACGATGAGGAACGGCGACGTCGTCCTGCACGTAATAGGTGTTTATTAATGTCATCCGCGAGGGCCGCGCAGGCGAGCGAGAGAGAATCGTGGTGGGTGAGAAATCCGCCTGCGCGTGTACCAACTTGTGCGTTAATTATACCGGAAGTTTCGAAATACACAGAGAGAGACAGTTACGTTTTCCTTTCTAATGGAATTCTCTGGACGGTAACGGGGGTGAAGAGAGGGTGGGGGAGGGGAGGGGGGCGATTTCCCCGCGTCGCGGCTCAACGGGATCGGATTTTAAATATCGGTAAATAAATAATATTAGACACAATTATCTCTCGTGGGGTATACACTATGTGCGTTCTATTTCACCGTGATACGCGATGGCATGCGCGTCTGAAGGATTTACGAAATGTAATAATAGGTTTCCGGATGTAATATACGATCTAATCAAGCATGACCAATCGCTGATTTATGGCGCGGTTTCGCTGAAGAATAAGATTAGTGCGGATAGTCGTGGTGTGGTGACACACACACACACACACACACACACACACACACACACACACACACACACACACACACACACACACACACACGAGAGTCTCTTTTATTCTATATAAATATATGATCGAGTGACACTCGCCGCGCAAATATGGACGTTGCGTTAATAAAGAATACATTTGTATCTCGCGAGTCGTATCTCGGGGAAGATTATTTTTGCGGCGGCCGACTCTTCGATAAAATATCTCGAGTTTGCACGGTTCGCGGCATGAAAGTAAATGGATACGCGGCCCGCGTACGAACGTTCCGTAAATTGCTTTTGATTTAAATATCGGCCCATCTCGCTTACGATCAATCTTGGGCGTGCATAATGGCGAGCAGTTAACGCATCAATTTATCAGTTAATTACATACGCGGTTAATTGCCACGAGTAATTATTTCCGCGCGCAAGAAACGCTCGCCGTGTGCACCTCGATCGCTCGCGAGAGACGGAGAGTTCGAGAGGGAGCGAGACGAAATTCCTGCCACGTGAGCCACTTTGCGGTCAATGTATCGATAGATGCGTCTTCTCGTAATCTTCTTAAGAAGAACGTAGGCCGAAACACTCTAGGAGCCGAACACAAAACAATATAAGCGGATCAATGAAATTTAGAGAGGAGAGCTGAGAATAAAGAGTTTCTAGAGTTAGCCTACGTTAAAAGTGGGAAGGCTCAATATTGTGGGGGGAATTTCATTCACTCTTTTCTGATTGTGAACCTCGCCAAAGCAAGACTAGATCCGGCTACGAACGAACCGTCTATTTACGATAAGAATCGATCGGAGTAATTAATTGAATTCGATTGCAATGCTGCGTCCCGCGAAAGAAATATCTTCCAGCGCGTCGAGGATTTCGTCGATCCGCCAACCTTATTAATATTCATAGACGCTGACGAGGGAAGCGTAAAAAGCGCTTGGTCGTGCGTGAGATCGCTCAGGTGCGTAAATTCTGATCGCCTCTTTGATAATCAACTCGTTGACGCAATAAATTCCAAGGGAAAGATAGTCGAATGGTAAAGAGGGAGAAACCGAAAGCTTGGACGCGCAGCCGAATCTCTCTAGATAATGTCTTCAGTTTGTGTTTCCAATTAGGCTTGTATTTCGAGTTATACGAATCGTTTATCATAATTTTCGATGAAACAGATACACAAAAGTATACGGGCCACGAAATTCTCTCCCCTCCCTCGTCTATCTAAAGTTAAAGGATCTCATTGAGGAAACGTTAAGAAATTTCTGTGATAAACGTTCAGGTGAAGAAAAAACTTAAGAACATAGGAGATGTTCGACCTCGCGATGATCTTCGTGTAAGTAATCAATGTAAAAAATCAAATATATGCATTGTCCGTCCCGATTCTTCAACCTTCAACGTTCACGCCCGTCCGAAGGCGAAGCCTCGTGCGAATTTAAGGAGGACGTCTACCGCATCGACGTGATGGATAGATCGTACTCGGGATAGATAAACTCGGTCTAGCAAACGAACTAGATTCTCCTATTAACAGTGGCCGCAAATTAAGCCTCGCTCGTCGGCGCCTAATAAGTCGCGGATCCTCTGCGATACGGGGCCCTCGCGAGCGCGCGCGCCTACGCGTGATTTCTCTCAAAGAACCCCGACACGGCGATATATTTCCTGTGCCCTCGTATACTTTACATACATCGTATCCGCTGCGCATTCGTATAGGAAAGAGTCAAATCGACGTTAAGGGTCGTACACAATCGTGGAATCGAGCCCAAAGCTTTAAAGATAATTATTTTTAACCCCCATAGCCCACATATTGCAATTTGTCAAACATCTTTTGTGATAGGATTTAAATTTTAACGCGTCTCTTATATATAAATTTATTTATATTCATTATTTATTCGTTATGGTTGAAGAAAAAATTTCATTAAATGAAATTGAAACATTGCGTTCTATGAGCTATTCTTTATATAGTTTAATGCATAGATATTGATTTAATTTATGTTTGTAGGTTTTAAAGAAAATTGATATCTTTGGGACGTTGAAATGTATTTTGCGTTGTCGAGAAAGTTGGAAATTCGTTCCAACGGCGTATATTATCCGCCAAATGTACATTATTGTTTGAGAGAACCGAAGGAGAATCGCGGTCAGGAAAATGAACGTGTATGCTTAATTATAAACGTAAACAAGTCTCTCCCCGAGAGCATATAGGCCGCGCGATGTGTTTTAACGACTGCCGCACACAGTGCGTAAGCCGTAAATGTTACGCCAAGCCGGAGGATTCGTGTAATAGCCACTAAAAGTGAGGTTTGTCCCTTTATGGATCGTAAAGACCGGGATATTTGGAACGGAGGAAACCATTGCTTGGATTGACCTGACTCGCAGTTAACTAAAAAAGCGTGAAGCACGATTGCGTCTTAGATACATCGCCGTGATCGCCGAAAACACCTTTGTTAGCGTGACGATTTTTTTGACAAATGGGACCTCAAATTTTTCACAAGTGTCATCAAGTGGCATATATCATACATATACGTTTATAGATCATCGTAAAATCCTCAACAGCGCATGTAGATTCGAAGAATGTTCGAAGAATGTCGTAAAAGTAGATTATGTATTTCCTCTCATATTTGAGAGATAAAAAATTGGAATACATAATCTAATTTTTTCTTTCTTTTATTACTGTGATTGTATTCTAATACATACATATTAGGTACGCAAATAAATAAAAAGTTTTTTTTTCTTTTGTTCACCTCATTAGCAAGGATATCGGTGTAAGTTAAAAATTTACCCATTCAAAGTCTCAAATTTCAAGCGAATATATCCTTTGAATATTGTTAGAATTTACATGATACATTGGGGATGGAGGAAATATAATAATCTATAGCAATAATTAATTTCTATGAAGGCAAATGTATAAAAGATATCTAGAGCATATCCGGGGGATATGTTCGAAACATTTGAACAATGTTACAACAATCGCTAATTGAGCGATTCGTTTTCAATCGCGTTTCGGTTTACCCGGGTAAATTAATCCCATTTCGATTCGAATACACGCGCACGCATTGTCCGAGCGATGAAAAGTCCGCTCTAATTACCTCGCATAAATAGGGAGCCCTGATTTCTCGGAGAGAAGGAGGGACGGGGGGGGAGAGAAATAGGCGCGACGTAGCTCGTAAACAATGACAATAGGACCTACACCGGGAGCGGATCTCGCCGGTGCGGTGCCAGGCCCTCATGATGGCCGCCTGCGATCCCGGCCGTCCGTCGAGTTAATTAATCGCCCCGAACAATCTCCATTGAAATGGAATCTGGATAAATTTTCCGTGCCGATGCTGCCGGTGCTGCGCTAGCATGTGGGCATTATCTTTACGACCTCTTCAAAGAGATGAGACGTCGTCGTGCGGCGCGGGGGGACGAGGGGGGGGGGTTGAGTACGCATGCGCGCGCGATACCACCGTGCCGCCGCCACCGTCGCTGGACCTCCGAAACCGGAGAACCTGTTATCACAGAGAAACAGTGGTTGGGACTTGGTCCAATTATCATGCAGCCGAGACACCGAGGTCTCGTCTGCGAGACGCGAGACGTCCTCCGAGCTACTCTTAAACTCCGACCCTCGAGTGTAAGGATTTGCGGTGTCGAGTCAACGATCCACCACGAGAGAGAAACGCACCACCATCGTGCTTTCGTTAAATACACACCGTATATGTAGAATTAAAACTACGATTGTCCACGTGATTGGTTTACCTGTCTATGTCTCGACGGGTCTCCTTTCCGATACGTGGGGTAGATAGAAATAATAGGTAACGTGACGGCGCGTTTTGCGCGTAACGTGTTCCCGATACGCAGTGTTTTCACCGTCTGCCAGAGGCGTAAAAGTGTCGGAGCACGTTAAAAGACTCGGCAAGCGGCCCGACTTGCGAAATTAAATGCAGACGCAAGTCATCTGGGAATGACTTCGAGAAAATGCGTCTCCTTTCGCCTCTATTTTTCATCTGCCACGCGAACGGAAATTACAGCGTGACGTATTGAAGTTATTGCGTGTCGATGGTGCGAGACGCGATTTCCAGCTTCTTTGGAAAACTTTCGAGTTGCTCGATATTCGTGTGACTCTATGGGAGATGCGACGCGCACGAATGATGCTCCTCGAGGAGAAAGCGCCGCCGTTATTATCGGACGAGAATCAAGTGCCCTAATTTGTATCGCGCGATTAAGAAGCGACGGAGATGATTTATGGAAACGGTAGACGTATTAATTGCCCGCCGATGTGATTCATCGGGTGGTGTCGTTACGCATCCGAGCACGTCCTTTACGGAGGAAGTGGACTGAAATAATTCTGTCGGCCACCATGGAAGATGCGGCGGCTGCTTAATTACGATACGGCATAATGAGGGAGATTCGATGCTTGCTCCTAAGGTAAGAATACTTGCTCGACTAGGTTTTTTTTTAAAAATAATGTAAGAAAGTCAAGCTCACAATTATAATAACAATGTTGAAAGATGAAGGATCGTTAAAAGAGTAATCAAGGATGTTGATGTTTATAATAAGCTTTATACATTACAGATAGAAGATTAAAAATTTTAAATTAGCAGACCGCCTATTAATTTGCAATTCTTGTGTTTTAATCTTTGTTTATTTATGACACACTTTATCTGATTATCACAGTTAAATAAGCAAAATTTCCAGAAATTGATCGATCAACTTTAAATACTTCTACTTAAAAATTATTATAGCCTCGATATTTTTATATAAAAATTTCTGTCAGAATATTCCATAAAATTCGCTAATGAAAGAAAGGTTCAATAGTTTTAAAGCAATATATGTATGTTGCGTATTAGACAAGATGTTACACTTTGTATTCTTATTGCAAGTGGAATAATCTCAATATACTACATTGAATTTATAATGAACGCGCTCACAAGACGCTCATTCATCAGACAAAACGCTCGCGTTTTATATTCGTTACATTCGCAATTATTCGGTGTAGTCTCAAAACGCATTATCGCACCCGAGATCTCTGAAAAGCGTTAAATCACTTATCTCGAATGCTCGCTTGGCGTCTCCCTCGCGCCGACTTGCTTTCGACAGCGACTCATTTTCTCACCGGTTCTCACGATTTTTTTTCGCGTCTTCGCGCTCGTGTTATTCCTCTTTCGATTTCACTCACGTCGTTTACCGTCTCCATCGCGTGGCGGCTCTTAAAATCATGTATTTCCGTGGCGAGATAGGCCGGACTTTTTTCTCCGTTCTCCACGAGAGCATCTCGTTTCGCCGTCTCTCTGCGGCCGTCTCTCCGCCGGTTCTCTTTTCCCTCGCGTACCCCTCTCTCGTCCCGTTTCTTCACTCCCGCCGCTCCGAGAGCCCCGGTGTAACAATGGCTGCCCTCTAATTATCGGAAGACCGCGGCACTTTAAAGAGATCCCGAGAGCCCATCACGGGATTCCGTTTCGTTCGCTCCTTAAAATTTCTCTCCCCCTTCCTCGCGCTCCCGTCCTCTCTTTCTTCAAGGCGTCCGAGAGACGTCTCGGTAACAAAAACAATCAACGTGGCAATCGTTGCTCGTGGAAAATTAGTTTTGTCTCGCGGGAGCATCTACCCCCGCGGATTCGCAGCAGCCATTCGGGCTTTCTCATACTCGCTTTGCAAAGTGATGAAATGATGAAAACGATCGAAAGATTCTGAAGTAATCAATTTAAAAAATCACGATTTTTATTTTTTATCATAGATATATCAATTTGCACTCTGAATGATTTATGCTTCATTATTAAGGGTTGCTTGTTATTAATATATAAAATTAAAAATTCCTTATTAGACGTATATTATTCAAGTTTTCTAGCATCGGTTTCGCCAACAGGCAAAAGGCTATCGCGACTATTCCCGAGTGCGCCAGCCGGCCAAGTGCGAGATCATGACGGCGCTTTCCGGTCGGCGAGAAAGATCGTAGAAGGGAGAAAAGCCACGCCAATAAAGAGAAAATAGCGCTCGTACAACGAGAAGCGCGAGTCGGAATGGGCGTAACCCAAGGCGAGCTCGCTCGTACCTGTTGCTCGTTGCTTCCTATTAAATACTCTCAGCCGACCCACACTAGAAAGGAGAGTCGCTCACGTCTGCGTTGGTAACCAATGACTAACAGCGCGCACGAGAAATAATCCTTTTTTTCTTCTTCATTATTTCCACACGATTCCGTCTCTTCCTCGTCCGACTCCTTCCTTCGAGACCGCTCGAGAGCCATCTCTTCCAAATGGGAACGCTTAGACCATTCGAGACCACGGGGATCTAATCGCGAGACGATTGCGCTCGTTTCCGGATTGGGAAACGCTTTAAAATCCACGCTTTCTCGTAGAATTCCCGCCGATCGGTTGATTTACGAGTGCGCGATCAGAGCTCAGCACGAGATAGGAGATTTCTAATCGTGAAACTCTCACGCTTCCGCGACTGAGAATTTCGTGACACGATTTACAACGTCTTCTTCTTTAAAAACGCGAGATCGAATTTTTTTGTCATCGTAATATCGCCTATTAGTCGTAAACCCCTTTTTAGAGTAAACTTCTCAATCAGTTAGCTCTTTTATTCAGCTCGTTTCTCTTCTCCTTTCGTTACATCCTAGTTGTGGTCGTTCACCCCATTTTTATTCGGATTTCATCGCTTCCCCTATACTTTTTGTAGTTCTATTTTTCTTTGGTGATATCTCTTTGTGCGCTTCTATTAGCGGTTTGTATTTCGAGCAGATGTTTGTCGGGTACAATGTCTTCTACATGCTAGCCAGTTTAGGCCTCCCGGCGGCATTGTATCCGCTGAGATATAAAAGATTGGGATAGGCCCTTTCTCAGGGCCTTAACAACGACACCGACGAAGGAAACGTGTTTACTCTATTCGGCCCGCTATCTCAAGGGGCTATAAGTGAGTCGAGATTTTCTAAAAAAGATTCTCGGACGAAAGTGCCGATGACGCTGCTATTTTTTTTCTTTTATATATATATATATATATATATATATATATATATATATATAAATTAGCACACAAAGTATAAAAATATTTGGGATATCATTATTATAGCTGATCTTTAATTTGGGGTTGCAGGATGAATTCTCGATGAACCTAAACGATTTAGAAGGAATCGTGTGCTATTCATCTCTAATAATTTCAAGTATTTGTATCTCTACTTCGAACATCGATCTGACTAATAACGGAGTCATAAACGACCTAGCACGAATCCCGAAGGGTTCAAAAGTATTATACGTTTCGAATTAGAGACTCCTAGATAATTTATCTAAGGGCGGGGCCAAGAAAATCCTTGAACTTTGCCGCAGGTGCAACGTAGCTTAAATTTTATCATGATATTATATGAGAATATCGCTTTATATAAGCGGAATGTCATGAGTAAAAAATATGGTGTGCATTGTTAAAAATTTTCCTTATATTTTTTGCTTTATTTATTTATTTTATTATTTTATTTATTAATAACACGCGTGCGATATTTCATGTATCCGTGGAATTTGCGCGACGCGGAAAGATTCGTGATCTCGTAAGATTCGTATTGTCGCGACATCGGTGACAGCGTTATCAAGTCGAATTGTCCGTAAAACATCGTTAATTAAACAGTATTATAAATTACCCGCTGTATCGTAAAGCCAATGATGTTCCGTTAAAGTGCTACAGCGTGAAAACTGCGCGTTCGAAATTCACGGTGGGCTCTAAACATTTTTACGGTGCTCATTCATTATCCGCGCGGGAGAATATCCGCGTGACGAACAACACGCGAGAAATCGAGGTCTGACGGGGACGAATAAGACGATAAAATTCACAATGAATTCGTATTGCCACCTCTGTCCCGATCGTCTTTCGCTCGTCTTTCATATGTATTTATATCCCGCGTAATCACGACACGCAACGCAGCTTCCGGCACGGAATGCCATTATCCATTCCCTTTAATGGTAAAGTTACACATAAAATTATAATTGTTATCTCGTTGGTAATTCCACGGTACACGATTTATATATAATCATAGAAAAAAATTCAATTCTATGCAAACGAATCTTTGTTGACTGTCGAATGAACTCTGCTCAGCCAGACATGTTTCCTGTCATTTGTTCGGCTCATACAAATAGAGTGATAGAGTATTATTGTCACAGATCACATCGTCCATTAGTATTATATACGTTACACATTGTTCGCTACGCTTCAGTTTTTGCAAGACCATCGCGTGAGTTTCCAAGATCCTGGAGACAAAGAAGGGAAACAGTCGAGATCTATGCGTGATTAGTAATAAGACGAAGAGGAAGGTATACACCTAAATTAAGCGGCCTCGAAAAACTTCGCGCCGGACTCTCTCGTCGGGATTGCATTTTTTTTCCCCTTTTCAAAAAACGGAGCTCGCGTAATTTAGTGTAGCGTTGCCGGGGGTCGTGGCGATCACCTTATTTCTTTTTCTCCCCGTCTTGACAGCATCGGATCGTGTGAGGCATGCACGGACGGCGACCCGACTCGACGAGACCCCCTTAAAACCGAAAACATATGGCGTACAATTACGACGTAATGATATATAATTAATGGAATTCGCTCAAGGGATCTCCCCGTTGGTTGTTATACGGCACGCTTGTTTCCTCGAACGGCAAAAGGAACTGCGAGTCCACGTAAGCGGGAGGAGGGAGGGGAGAGGGAGGGGGAGGGGGAGGGGGAGGGGGAGGGAGCTCAACGAGAGATTCCGTCCTCTGAATAAAATTTTCATCGCCCGCGTGCATATATACTTTATCCACCCGTGCATGTATTTCATCGGCCGCGCTCGCATTTTGCATGCCACGGGACTATAAGAGGCCAGAAAATTGCCCAGAGTTCGACACACTAATTTCCGATGTCACGAATAGTATCCCGACGGCACGGATAACTTCCCCGAATATCGCTCGTAAAGAGAAAAAGGAAAAATCGGGGAACCGAATGAATGAGCCGTGTACGTCTCTATTTGTTGATTATAAAAATAAAATTGCTTTATTTTCAACGCTCTTTTTTTTCTCATCAGTCCCGTATTTAAGGATTCTCTCGACCGCGAAGGATTCTTCCGACTACAACGCGACGAGACAGATTTTGTGAGTGACATCTTTAAAATTCCTCGCTACCAGAGCAACCAGATCCTCTCGGTCGCGAAGACCGTTCAGGTAGTATTTCGAGTATTTTCTTAAGTGTGTCGATGTGTACTTGTCAGCCGGATAGAACACACCTCTTATATATCAAGCTCACCTCAAGTCGATCGGACCGATCGACCGGTCTCTCGAAACAAGGCATGTCCGCGATAGGATCAGACTTTTGCACGCAGATGTGTATCATTCATCACGTTTCTCGGTTATATAATATTACAGAGATAACATAGCTACTTTGGTCTTTTACGTCATTAAATGATCACAAATTTTTTATTTAGAAAT